CACCTTTATGCTGTGCCGGTACGAGTCCGTGCCCCACATGTACCGCAGGATGGGATACATGGGACGGCGGTAGTTGAACTTCTGTTCAAACTGGTGGGGGTCACCTAGAGACAAGGCAGAGTATTAGAGTGGGCGGTGAGCACAGGCAGGGGCTGCTAATTCCTTTTCACAGTTTGAAACAAAAGCCCTGCTCCCATCCAGGTCAGTGAAATCTATCACCAATTCCAAAGCCGTACAGCGGAAGAGGAGGGGTGAGGACCTGCCATAGGCACTGCTGAGCCAAAAAGCTCGAGCTCCGGAGGTTGTCCTTTCTAGACACGCAGTTCTGCACAAGGCAGCAGTTTGGGAAGACCAACGCTTTGCTGGAACGCCGCCTGCCTAACCCAGCCGAGCAGCTTAACGACGTGCAAACAGGTTCGTTTGCTTTCACTGACGTGCTTCAAACCCTGGAGACCTTCTCCTGCAGGTGTTACAGAAGGAAGGCAACTCTTCCTCTTCCGCGCTTACCCGTAAACTCGATGTCCACGAAGACTTTGATAAGCGCCTCGGCAAGATGGGCGGCGTTTCGGTAAGAGCAGAACACTCGCTTGCGGTGAAACACGCTCGAGACGAGCGGGTTCTGGGCTTGGTCTAAGTGAGGCATCACAGCTTCCAAGACCTCTGCCAGCTTGGCTCGCAGGTGAGGATTTTTCATCCTGCAAGAGAAAACAACAAAGCGAATCCAGCGTGACGTGAGGGCCAGGGTGCAGGGACCGAGCTGGTCAGGAAACACTCCAGCAGGAGCTGCGCCCATCCGTGCAGGAGCACCCAGTTGTTGCAAACCATCTGCAAGACTAACACTGATGTCCTCCAGCAGCTCCCTCTCACCACCGGAGCCACGGGGCGATGGCACGTGCTCAACACCCGCGGTTAAATCCCACGCAGACGCGAGAGGGTGTAGGAACAGCAAAGCTGCCGCCTCCCCGGCGGCGCACGGTGCTCGCAGCCCGCGCTTGCTTGTCCCCAGCGAGCCCGACCTGCCGTCCCAGCTGCTCACTCACCGCCCAGCGACTCGCTTCCTCCTTATCCCGCTGGCCCACAGCGCTTTGCCCGCGGAGCCCACTGCCCGGCACGTGCCAGGCCGGCGGGG